ACCTAAGCTAAGTCCATAGACGCACGTTGTCTGCAACCACTTTCCTTATTTCTCTTTTTCCTATTTCCAATTCCCAAAACGTCACACTATTTTGAATTTCTTTAAAAAGAAATAACTTGGTTAATTTTATTGTTGAAATGATTATAGTCAAGAAAATTTCAAAGAAAGTCTCATTATTTAGGATTTACAGAAGAATTTACAACAGACAAACAATAAATAGATGTAAATTTCAAATGATTTAATAGTAGTGGAAGTTTATGGCTTACCGACCATTTGTGGATTATTTAAAACTGAAACATTTTTTAAATCGTAAGAATAATTATTTTGTCTTTTGTGGATAAATGTTGCATTAAAATTTTTTTTAGATAACAATGTCTTTTCCAGGTACAATTCATTCTATTTAATCTATATCTGGGGATAAAGATGGATAGATGTGCATGTGTGAATGTAATGAACTCGACTGGAATCCGAACTCGGTTTTCTGATTTATTATTCTGAGCCACTAAACATTACACCACCCACACATTCACTAGTGGTGGAAGTTGGGTTTAAGACATTAATAGCTAGTATTCCAATGTACCATCTGGTAAATTATCCCCACTAAAGTAAATATAAAATAATTGCTTTGCTCCGAATTCGAAATAATTCCATCAGTTATAAATTAGCGTATTAATTCAAAGTTCTTTTTATGAATTTTGTAATGTATTTTTTCGACATTTCACACAGGTTATATAGTAAGGTCAGCTGGAATGTTCATAGGTTGACCAATATATAAATGTAAGTCGACGCACATGTCAGTAGGCTAAAAGATATGCAAGTGTACCAGGATGCAACAGCTGGCAAACCACTGGTACATTTGCATGTCTTTTATATCCTAACGAAAGGTTTTTTGTTTGTTAATGTAATGTGTCCGGACAATAACATTTATATCTTATTCAACCTATGGACATTTCAACTAACATCTATACAAACGAAAGGTTTTTTGTTTGTTAATGTAATAGATTGTTCGGACAATAATGTCCGAATTTTATAATTAACCTTTATTCCTGAATTAATGTATTTAAACAGTGTTTAAATCATTCAAAGTAGGAACACTGAACATCTATACATTTTTGCAAATGAATTACAAGGTTATTTATGTCTTTGCGAAGGGTTTAGACGCCCAGAAATCTTTGAATGCAGTTTCTTCATCTTCTTTTTAACGGAATGTCTTTTGGCTTAAAAAACTGTCAAGATATCTGAAAAAAGTTGTAGTCAAACAGATTATCCTGGGAATAGTTTGGCATAATTGAACCTCGTCGATTAACAAGTGTCGGTTCATTTCAAGTTGCTGACAATAAACTTCGGCAGGGCTGCTCTGGTTGTGGCAAAGTCCTATTGGCCGAATGTTTGTCATAAGGATGCATTTTACCTAAGTTGATGAACATTTTCAGTTTCTTAAGTGTTATCCTGGCAGGTGGTTGGAATTTCCAACTGAAAGATTTACTGTTCTAAGAGTATTTTAAAACCAAGCATAATTGAACCTCGTATTATTAACAATCATTGCATGTCTGTCGGTCATTGCTTTTCTCTGGCACTCCTTATTACTGGTTCCCATATTGTGGCCTAGCATAATGATCCCACAGGGGGCGGTGACATTTCATCCAGCTTTCTGGTGTTCTTGAACAATTGGGGCGGCCTGTCTCTCCTTTATATTCCTTTCAGCTGCATGGGATAGCGTATACACAGTCTTTAGTCATATTTCCTCTCTGGTTAGATTCGAAGTGTTGTCACGCTTTTGAAAAAACCGTAATGGATAACGCCAATGGCGAACCAGTGTTGTTGTCCTCCTCATCCTCCTCCTCTTGTACCCAGACAGTGCCACCATAATCTTCGTTGTGTTATTTAAAATTAGACTTTTGCTCGAAAGTGTTTCGGGGTTCTTTGGATGGTGGGAGTCAAACGGTATGTTGGTTTTACGGTAGCCGAATGTTTGAACCCATTTGTTCGAGATATTAGTAAAGGATACAGGTCTTATTTTCTCATGGTCCAGAAATGGAGATCGTTCGAATTTCGTAACCAAATGCACTCTAATGCCATTTCTTCAAATACAGTGCTTAAAACATCGAAATCCCATTTTAACACTGGTAAAAATGATGCTGAAACATTAGGTTTATAAGAGTTCATACCCAGATGTCCTCAAGGAACCCATTAGATCAGTGACGAGTTCAATTCTTAACTTTCAGAGGGAAAATTAGCAGGGAGATAACTGATAACCAATTTTAGAACAGTCTTGAGATGAAATTCCAACCACCTGATATTGTGACAAATATGGCGACAAAGAAATAGTCGCTGACCTCATGAAATAGACAAACTCTGGGTTTCTGACCAATTTTAATGTTGAAATGCTGACACCCAATTCTCTGACATTTTAATGTTAATTGTCAAATGTTAATTGTCAGTTGCAGACAGACGTCTTCTACCACCTTCATCTTCAAGAATCGTTATTCTCAATGTAGAATTTAAAAAACCAACACCGTACTGTCCGTTCACAAATGGATCCTTCACCACCATGCTCTGGCAAAATGTGACCGAGAACTTTTATTGAAGCAGAATTGGACATTGTCGTTTAACCAGTGAGTTCTGGTCGCATTTTGCTTAACTGAATGTGCATTTCATCCAGTTGCTAGCAGTACACTACACTGGTGATTTGGTTAGATTCTAGAAAACTCTAATTGATAACGCCAATGGCGAATCACCAGACAGTCACCATAATGTTCTGTTGGTGCAATTTTGGAAAGTTAGGATCACGCCATTGAGCAGATCGTTTACGATTTTCATAACGGATCCATTTCTTATCACAAGTCACTATTCGATCAAAAAAATGGACCATTCGAATTTCGCATACGCAGCACTGAACAGAATTCAAAACGTCGAACTCTTTGACTTGAACTGAGTTCATGTGGAATCTGTTTATCAAGTTTCTTCACCTTGTCAGTTCTCTTGAAATGATCCGATTTTGTTGAAATGTTGACACTCATTATCTGAGACACATCTCTGACAAGAATTTTTTTCGACTAGTGTTTCAGATGGTGATTTTCAAATGCTCTGTCACCTTGATCTTAAAAATTAGATTGGTAGGTTGGAGTTGGAGAGAGACATAGTAATTAATTTTATCGCAACTTCGGGAATAAAACGAACTGACTCAAGGGTATCAAATACATATTTTCATTCATTTGATTTAGAGTGAGTACATTGATATTTAGTGTAGCAAAATGTTAATTTATAAGGCGGATATTGGTAGCAGTCTGGAGAAAGTCCGTATCAGATTGATAGTAAGTATCTTCGCAGTCAGACCTTGCTCGTAACATTAGGTCAAATATAAATATTAAAATAGGTCAGTGTCAATCTACTGTTTTTTATCAGCCGTAAAAAGGTCTGGAATATCATTAACACAACTTCACGTGTTACGCATGGCTGTTTTGTCTAGCGGTAGCGGCTTTTGTTCTGTGTTTTATCTTGCTGTCACTCTCTTCATCTAGCTCATAGCTGTGAGCTTATATCCTTTTGACCCGACTCCGAGACTCTGGTGCGAACGTTAGTTTCGGCTATCATGAAAAGTCTCTTTTTATTAAGTTTTTGATCGGTCAAAATTATTTTATTTACTGGCGTTCCTTTCTTTTTCATTTTTTTTTTATATAAAGGGATCTATGCGTGGAGGCTGTTTTATTTTGGTATATTTACTCTGGTCCCGTAAACTTACGAGGTTTTTCGTCCGGGTTCAGTCTTTTCTTCATTTTATTTGAGGCTTGCTTTCTCGTTAGTTGAGACAGTATATAGAGAGCAGTTTAGAGAGAGAGAGAGGAGAAAGATATGAGATAATGGTTTTAAAGGAAAGCGCAAATGCCTTATTTTAATTTGGATGCTTTCTTTTTTTGTTTACATATATTATTTTTAAATTTTATTTTATTTTTATCGGGACTTACTACATCTTCACCGCGGAATTTCCGAAACCAACGCTGTACTGTTAGATCACAAGTGGATCTTTCACCCCATGCTCTGTTAATGTTAGCAGCAGTTTGAGAAGCATTCTGACCAAGCTTGAACTTATGCAAAAAGTAAACGCAGCTCTTCTTTTTTCATGTTCAAGATGACAGGTATATAATGTTTTTAAGTTAAATTCTGAAATACATTAATATAAAATTAACAAAGAGTTCACCTTAATCATTAGGAATAAGAAATATATTTTTGCGCAGCTATTATAATAGAACACAATTAAAAAGTTTATTCTAAAATCGGACATTATTTTCCGAACAACCTAATACAAAGTAACATTTCTGGATATTTTGACGTAGTGTAATTGTTAGCAAGCTTGTTTCGTTAGATCAATTACTGCCAAGTAGTGAGTTTGACCCTCACTTGGTGCTGATTACTTGCAGATTTATGCCACATCCAAGCTAAACCTAGTAAATCTCTAAGTACTTTACATCGCGTTTGTCAAGTTGATAACAATTTTATGCATTATAAAAAACACGATTTTATCTTTCTGAAATAACAAATTCATTGAAACTTAAATATTTTAGGGATAATGGAATTTTTTAAACAACTTTTTCAATTTTCGTGGACATTAAATATTAACATTTAAAATGCTGATATTTTATATACAAGATAAAAAAAAATACCACGCGTGTATTTCATTTTAAAAATCCCATGCATGTATCTTATTAGAAAATCCTAAGTATACTTCCGTGAAATCGAACTGATTTCAATTATACACAGTATGTAAGTTGTTTGCATGTATGTGTATTTTTGCCCACACAAACATGCACATTTCTATGAAATACTCTTTCATTACTTGACACTTCACCCTTTATACTTGTGTAGCCTTGCAGAACTCGTGACGTCAGTGAATTCAAAGTACTTCGAAGATATATTTCCATAGAAGACACTAAGAGGCAAAGATAAAAAGTTCCAACCACCATAGCAAAAAAAAGATATACAGAGACTCTTCGTTTTTCGTCATGGCAAATTCCTGTATATACACATTTTTATTTTCAGCGCTTTTTGTAAGTATTTAAGTTTCTCTTTCATAATTTCTATTACTTTTACCGATGAAAATATTTTTGTTGTAAAAAATATTGATTTTTTTTTAATTGTATTTTCTTTGTAGAATTTTTTTCTCTTTTTAATTTTTTTTATTTAATCTGCTGTTTTGCAACATAATTTGGGCCATCTTGAAAACCAAACAAATTTATTGCTTGTAATTTTAGGTTTCAGACAAAATAATTTGATTATTACGATTTTGCGATATTTTCAAAATGTCATTTGAAGGAAGGGCTTTAAAAAAAAATCTATCTATCTATCTATCTATCTATCCTCTCTCTCTCCCCTCTCTCCCCCTCTCTCCTATATATATATATATATATATATATATATATATATATATATATATATATATATTATGTACTACCACTGATTCGCTAAAATAATAGCATGCCATGATGAAAAAAAATGCCACAAACTTGATAAAAACAAAGTTTTATCGTCAAAATCTTTATGTTAACTAAGAGGAAAGACCAAAGGACTTTTTATTATTAAATTATATTTTTTAATCCTTTTAAGAACGTTCGAAAATTTGGTTAAAAATCTTAATTTTTGCGTCAGGAAATTTTAGCGTATTTTCCTTTTAGTTTAGAAAATCTTACCGTCTTTTTTACGGTGAAAAACACACTAATTTGGACATTCTTGTAAAAATCAGATAAATGTCAGATCTCAATTAAACTTTCAGGACTTATTTATATTTATGAATGAAATTATTTCAGGATTTTTTTTATTTAGAAAACTTGGTAAAAATATATTTTTTTTGCATCTATTACGTCCCACATTTAATTTTATGAAATTTCGAGAAATTAATTTTTGTAGAGCTTAAAGTTTAATAGTTTTAAAAGCAGAACTTCTTGGAGAATTTAAATCATCAATTTCTTCTTGTAAAATAGGACCCCCAGTTACCGAAAATCTCCTCTGAATTGCAAAATAAAAAATTCAATATAATCTAAGACATTATTTAATTAGAAAAGATTTTAATTGCTTATATGAATAAATTATATATAAAACACTATTGTCTTAAAAAAATCGATGAATAATGAATTGTTAAAAGAAATGTTTTCATTTTTTAAAAATTAATTATAACTTACAAATTTTTAAATCTTTTAAAATTCTGTCGAGTGTTATTAAGTAAAATTAAAAGTTATATTTACTAATCATAAATAGAAAAGGTTACTACAATTCATCGAACCCTGATTTTTAAAAATAATGTTAATTTTCTTTTTGTGCGTATAAACGTGCCGATTTTTGTAAATACGGACGTCCATGCACGACATTATCAGAAAACAAGAGCGATAACTATAGTAAATTTAAAGTCACAGCACCTAAAATTCAATAAAACATCAAATTACAGGGACTAATTTTGTAAGATTACTTGGTAGTTAAAAATTATATAAAAAGGGCGCTTACGTTAATTCAAGTAAATTTTATAGATATGTCCGGCGTAGAAAAAAATTAGATAAACTTCTGTCTCTCAGCCAAGCTGTCAAAAACCTTAAATAAACAGCTACCGCTGTTTTAAAAATGCATTTCTGCAGTATTTTAAACATAAAGTAATTAATATATATATTAAATCAGCTAATATTCCTCAAATAAAATTTTAGAAAAGTATATTTTATTTTAAAAATACTTTTTTAACAGAGAGATTTACATCGTTATGACAAATAGCTAAAAATGACGCTAAAATTAGCTATTTTAGCAATTTCAAAAAGAAAACTTCTTCCAGTCAATATAAATTAGTTTTGAAATACAGAAAAATATTTTGCTTGTTGGAAATATTAAATTTAATCTATTAACTTCAAATTAAAACTAAATAAACGCTTCAAAAAGATTTCTCATTTTTAGAAATTAATTTTAAACCTTAGGTATTGCGTTTCTGTGAAGGTAAAATAAACTATCGGACTTTTCCATAACGCATTCCAAGAAGAGAACAGAACTACACTTGGCATTTGTTCGTCCACTCACGATACAGAGACATGACACAAGGTCGATTTAAAGGTGGAAGTCTAAGCGCGTGCACATGGGTCATGTCTCTAAATTGTCCAGTCCCCGCAATTACCGTCTCAGATTAATTAACGATCCCCTTATCGTTAATTGATCTGAAACTTTTAAAACCATTTATTTTATTTTCAACATCATCACTTGATAAGACACAGAGTGTGTTGAAACAAAATGGCTATTTTTTGTAGTGATTTTATAACATACTTATGTTATAATTTTTTATAAAAATAATTATATCTGCTCTACTTTGTATTGAGCACTCTTTTAAGAATAGTAATTGTTGGTTATTGGAATTCATTCCGTATATACCAATTGTATACTTGTATATATATATATATATATATATATATATATATATATGAATTAAGATCAAATATGGATTAGAATCCAACAAAATGAAAGGATAAGGACCAAACGTTTTCTATTTTTTCCTTATCCTATCATTCATATATATATATATATATATATATATATATATATATATATATATATATATATCAGGGGTTACCAAACCATGGCTCAAGGACCACATGCAGCTCTTTGACCTTTAATATGCGGCTCGTAGAAGTATATTGAATGGGCTCCTTTTTTTCATCACGGTTAATATGAAAAGTAAATAAAGAAAAAAATAATCAAACTTTTATAATTATTTACTGGATATGAATTGAAACATTAATGTTCGTGGTTAGTAAAAAATATTTAAGAATTTAAATCCTAATTTTAATGCTAGATCTGAGTGAGATATTTCTTCTTTAGTGCCGAAGAAAGGAATGGTGGGGAACAGATAGATTAAAAAATTTTCGGTCAGCAAGGGTTACAGAGGAATGTCTGAAGACTGAGGTCATGGGTAAGGGTATTAAAGGGACCGCACTCACGTCATGTACATTAATTCAATGTAACACAAGACATTGAACTGTGCAGACGCAGTTTTCTTTAAAAGTGTCAAGATTTTGAAAATATTTGGCATACATATGTGTACTTTGGGATTACTGAAACCAATACAAATTACATACAAGAATAAATATTATTGCATACATGCATTTCTTAATATTTATATAAATATTTTGTAACAAACAAAGTTTATCACCCTTGATGAGTGGACGTGGTCCACGAAACTGCGTAGTCGGGAGAAAAATAAATAGAAATAATGGATATTAATTTATAGTAAATTTTTCAATTTTAAAAAATTATATACGCTCTATTATATTCTAAGTATTGATCACTTTTAAAAATTCGTTTTTACAAAAAATTTAATCCTTATATATATATATATATTATATAGGATTAATACAAATATAAAATTTGTCACTTAGCTGATTGATATCAGTAGGTAGAAAGGATTTTTATCAGTTAGTACAAAGTTTCTTTTCGGTTCCTTTCCTTTTTTCATCCGATATCCCATTTTTATTCATTACGGTTTTTATGTCACGAGCTGCAAGGCGCACACTAAGTGTGAATACCCCTTTGAACCCCTATCTCAGATACAATGAAACTCTTGTACCCACTCTAATATGTGTGTGTGTGTGTGTGTGTGTGTGTGTGTTGATATAATAGGAAAGAGGTTAGATTGATGATCCGAAGTTCTTTAGTATTTTTGTTTTTATTTTAAAAAACAGTGCTCAATAGAGAAGTAGAGCCTAGATTACAATTATTTTTTTAAAAAAATATGATTCCATCGCGACACAGAAATTAAGTTTAATTCCAATATTAAAACTTAACTACTGGTTAAGGTTTAATATTGGAATTAAACTTTAAATACTGCTGACCAGTTTCGAAACATAGTAATTTCTGTGACGCGATGGAATCATATTTTTGTAAAAAAATAATTATAATATATATATATATATATATATATATATATATATATATATATATATATATATATATATGAGTACTATTACATGTGGAAATTTCAATTCACATACATTTGAAACATAAGGCTGAATGTTACCCCTTCTCAATCAGTTTTTCTGCAACTGTAGTTTTATGTTTTGTACGATTTTCTCAAACTTTTAAAACAATTTAACAAAAGATAATTCAAACTAAATTCCAAATACTGTGAAGATCGTAGAAAATTTTCAGTTGATACAGAAATAATAATTAACTAAGGAAAGGATCCTGTTGTTTGAATCAACAAGTATTGAAGTAATGACGAATTTTACAATCAAGAAAATCATAATTCCATTGAAATCATAAATTATACGACCTAATTCCCCAAATTTGAGAAAATAATCAGATTAAAAAGTTTTAGAAACGGCTTCTTGGTTAGACCGAGAACTTTTCAACACCCTGACCATTATTATTTATGAAACAATATTTTATAAATTTTACTGGGCTTTTCACCACTGAGCAAGCTCCAGTGCAGGATTTAAGCATAAAAAAGCGATAGTCAGCACCCGCTCGTATCCTAGCATCGGAACCGTTATCCTCTCTTCTTATTCTATTTCTCCCCTCTGATGGCGGTGGCGGAGATGGCTGTGAAGGCCCTGCCTACTCCTAAAGATCCGTGAGCAGGAGTTACAAAGAGGTGTAGGTGGTGGACGCGGCTGGGCGAGTCGGGCCCTCCTGACAGCACGTTGCAGATCCTCTTCATGGACGGGTGGACTCGAAAGTCTCGGTCCCTCACCTAGGATGGTCCTACGCAAAGGCGAATTTGCAGCAACGGTTTCCCAGGTCTCAGGGTCGATGTTGGCTTGTGTCAGGGATGTCTTCAACTTAAAAAAAAAAAAAGCAAAGCTGTAACATGTTATAGAGACTCACGGTCTGCAGGCGCGCTTCAAAAAATTCAGATTTTCTAAATAGTTGGGTTCTTCCCAATTTTTAATCAGTGGTTACAAAGCTTTTCTGTAGCTAACTGTCTCACTACGTCTAAGTCCCTCACTGTTTAGTTTCATTTGTTGTTTTTTTTGCCTTGACAACACCTTTCCTTGTTATTTTAATGTATATTTTAATAAACTTCCAC